CGACAACAAATGTCTTGAGGTCCAGCAAGCCCCGAAGTATCTTGGAGTGCGTCTGGATCGGACATTATCCTTTAAAAAACACCTGGAAGAAGTCAAGGCCGAGGTGACATCCAGGGTCGCGCTGATCCGCCGCCTCGCTGGAACAAACTGGGGAGCCTCCGCTAAGACGCTGCGAATATCCACTCAAGGGGCCCCTGGTCTTCTCTGCAGCGGAATACTGTGCCCCAGTCTGGAGCAGAAGCCCTCATGCGAGAAAGGTCGACGTGGCTATCAATACCTCCCTCCGAATAATAACTGGATGCTTAAAGCCTACAGTACCCCTGTGTCCCTCTTGCCAGTCCTCGCGGGAATAGCACCGGCCGGCCTCTGACAGGAGGCTGCCACCCTCGCCCTGGCCAGGAAGGCACAAAAGTATGACTGGCACATCCTGCACAACACCACAATAACACCAGCACCTCCAAGCAGACTCAAGTCCCGCCACCCCTACAACAAAGCAGCACAAGAGATGCTCAACTCCACCTCTGAGGACATCTCCAGAGATGCATGGTTGGCAGCAGCTTGGAAGCAGGAGTGGGAGTCAGCCGGGCCCTCCCGAATCCACCGTTACATCTGGGACCCAGGANCGGCATTTTACTGAGTACCGGCACCTTGCCGGTACTCAGTAAGAAGTGCCGGTACCACATGGGTAAAAATCAGAAGTGCCGGTACTGCGTACCGGTGAGTACCGGCCCAATTCAAGCACTGGACCCAGGAGATGGTGCCATTGGAGGAGACGACCTACCGCGCCGGCAGTGGACCACTCTGAACCGTCTACGAACTGGGATCGGTCGCTTTAAAACATCGATGAAGACGTGGGGCTTGGCGGACAGTGCGGCATGCGAGTGCGGTGACGCTGAGCAGACCGCTGACCATATAAACACCATCTGCCCCTTATATAGACCACCCTCGGAAGCCAGCCTCTTCGACCTAGGACCAGAGATGCGGGCATGGCTACACGACACCGAGTTGGACCTCTAACGTTACACGAAAGAAGAAGAAAGTGATTACACTGACTCGTTTGACCCCCTAGAGCATTTCATTTGCAAATCTATCCACCTTGGGACCCGTTATCGTTTGTGGGTTCCGTTTCTATCGTTTTGTTACAGCCTCGTGTAAATGAAAGTGCTATACGCAAGAGAAACTATGCGGATCCAGGCCGTTTTGTTCTCGTGTAAACGGCACCTTAGTCACGCATCTGTTGTGACAGAGTAGGAAGCTAATTACCACCAGCCTACTGCTTATAAGAAGGTTTGAAGATCATTAGCTGAAAGATATCCATACACAAATTAATCACAAACATTTGTGTTCACACGCAAGCATACTGTACAGCCATGAACATACTCATATTTATGTGCACACACACACACACACATGCATTAGATAACACACACTATATCATACACCAATACGGTTCCCCCTGCCTGCGTGTTTGTTTAAGAGACTGGTGGTTGGTTAATGTTCCAATTAGGAGCTGGCTGAGGATCGTTAAGAAGATGAATTGCTCTCTCACACCTTACAGACCCAAGAGAGAAAGAAAAAGAGAGAGGGAGACTATTGGATCACGTCCTTATGCCTCGAATGGTGCCACTCTCTCTAAATTGTTTCCAGGACTCAAGACAATTGATTTTTATATCATGTGTCGACAGTACAAAAATAAATTAAGGATTTGCCAAACATCCTGTGGCAGTGATGTGTCTAATATAAACTAACAACAGATTAAACAAAATTAGCCACATCTCCTTTTCATAATTGTATCTCTCTGACTTCCTCTCTTCCTTCCTATTGGCGGCTGTCCTTTTGCTCTATTCTACAAATACAACTATCCACTGGACTGTCAATGGAGAGTTTGAGACATATCAGTACTCATCCACATTTCCTTTCCACCTAAATGTCATCCACATATAGTGTCTGACCTTAAAGCCTCGCTCTACCACATGCAGTGCACTTGTTACCGTTTGCTATAATAAATGACATCACGTCCACGGCACAGCCTTGATTCTGACCATAAAAGTAAATGCAATTTGAAATATGTAGTGCTCAAATGCAATTCTAGCAGAGTATGTGCTGCTTGGAGCTTGGTCCCCTGGATTTTCTGAATAAAATCCTTAATTCTCTATCTGACATTTAATGTTGACAATTTGACATCAGCTTGGGCTATTTGGGTTGGGTAGATTTATGCGAATGACAGAGACAGAAAAGAGCTAACCGCTTGTACAGTAAATTGTGGCAGGGCTGTAAGACATGGTGTAGTTTCACTGAGATGAAAGCACAATCAATTATCTTCTGTTAACACATACGGTAAGATCTATCATGAGTTGCACACTTATCTGAATAAAGCTGATAAATAGGTGTATTTAATAGGTATATATAATTGGGATTGAAGCATCTGAACTGATTAGACATGGCTCAGATCAACATACATTTCATTAATGTGTCCATTATTTATTAGGTCATTCAACATATGCTTCTTTCTGAATTTCAAGATAAAAACATACGTTGAAGTCCGTCGAAATAAGTCATTAAATGTGGGTCGATATATGCAAATGTTTTGTCGTTTAGATTTCAATCATCTTAAAACGTGAAGCAGCTTAACATACAGCAGCTCAGCATTATTAGCTCATTGACAGTTCATTACAGTTTCTAATGATCTGTACTCTGTGTGTGTGTGTGGTTGTGTGTGCCTATGAATGCATGTGTGGTTATCTTTCACAGGCTCCCTTAATGTGCTTCTGAGAGTGAGAAGCATTGCCTCTGTGGACTCGGTGGTCTGGTCGAAGTCTGGTCATCAGGGCCCGGACTGGAGGAGAGCGTTCTTTGACATCAGCCCCAGTGGACCCTTTCAGGTAAAAGCTTGCCGATTGCTTTTCTTCCCAACAACAGTTTGGCAGTAAGGACATGTATTGTACTTGGCAGTATAATGGAGCAGTATAATGCTTAAAGTGGACCTATCATGCTATATTTGAAACATATATTGTCGGGCCATACCTATATAAAACATGTCTGTGAAGTTTTTTTTTCAAAATACCAAACAGATCATGCATTTTAGCCATGCCTCATTTCGCTCTATTTGTTCTTTTCCAGCCTTGTTTTTGCAAGGGCTGATTCTGCTTTTGTGGCAGACTACAGCGCCAATTACAGGCCTGGCATATGTACTACAGCGTCTCCAGCGCTTTCGAGCGGTCTCTCATTCCCCTGATAGGTGGAGAGTTGCCCATATAGGCGGAGCACCCCTTTTCTGACGTCAGAACAATTCAAATAATAATCAGCTCCATTGCAGCCCCGTTTTTAGAGATTTGGGTAAAGAGGAAAAGAGAGGGTTGTGTTTTCTGACACTTGGTGAGTTCCCTGACACACCGGGGACACATATTCATGTATAACAGACATACAAAAGTGCATTTTGCATGATAGGTTCCCTTTAAGTTTTGGGAAAATACTGAATGTGCTCTTCCAATATCAGAGTAGCGCATGACAGGATGTATGATTACCTAGAAGAGCGTCAGGACACACTGTTTTGATGGCTGAGTCAATATCACCATACGGTGCATTTGAGACTTCCCCATTTCCAAAAAAGAAATCTGAGATTTTCCATTGAATTTCATATTCATTGTATTAAGTATACGTTATGCTGTTAGAAATGGATGTTGGTCAAGCTCCCACACTTTCTATAAATTAACTGCAAGTACATGCAAACAGCAAAATGTATCCAACCNGCAACTCTAGTAAAGATCCCAACAGGTTAAACAAAAAAAGGGGGAAAAATTTTTACAAAAAAAAAAAAAAACTTAAAATGTTTGTTGTGTTTTAATATTTTTAGGGCTGTTTTTTTTTTAACCCAAATTTTTTGAACCCACATTTTATGGTGGGCTTTTTTTCTTAGTTTTCCATTACCCTTCCTTGTGTTTTTACGGGGGGGGAAGGACGGGGAAAACTTTATTAAGGTTCCTTTGGGGGCCCAAAAAAAACCGGCCCCCCCCCCCGGGGCATTAAAAAAACCGAATTAAGAAAAAAACAAATTTCAATTAAAAAAAAACATATTAAAAAAACCCATTTTGGCCTTTTTCGGTTAATCTTTTAACCAAAAAACCCTATTAAAAAAGGGGGGAAAATTGCAAAAAAAAAAAAAACCGGGGGGCGCGTTTTTTTCCGTCCCTTTTCCCCTTGGCCTTACCCGGCAATCCATTTAATTGGAGGAAAAAAAAAAAACAATTTTTCCAAAAAAACAAATTTACACAAAAAAAAACCATTAATTCGAGGGTGGGTTTTTTTAAATTAAAAAAAAAAAACCCATTTAAATTCCCCCGTAAATTTAAAATTTTATTTTCTTTCCCAGTTATTTGGTTTGTTTGTGGGTTTGCAACTTGGGAAAGGGAAAGAAGGGGGGTCTCCAAAAAAAAAACAAAAAGAAAAAAAAACCCCAGGGGGGCGTTTGTTTTTAAAAATTAAAAATTTTTTTTTTAAGAAATTTGGGCTTTTCCAAAAATCCCAAATTTTTTTGGGGCAAATTAATTTCTTTTTTTCAATATTCATGATAAAATTTGGAAGGAAGGGGTTTAAACATTTTTATTGGATGGGTAAATTTTATTTTTTTTTTTTTTTACCCCCACATAAATTTCTTTCTCATTCTTTCCTTTTTTTTCTTTTTTGCCAAAAAACCGGGTGGTTCCGTTAGGTTTTTTTCGGGGGGGGTGGTTCTTCTTCCCGTTTTTTGTTTGGGCCTTTAGTGGGGTAACGGGGGGCAATGGGGGGTTTAGAGGGGGGGTGGGGGCGTGGGGGGAAAAGGGGGGGACCGGCAGGGTTTTTTTTTTCCCCCGGGTCAAAGGGTTTAGTATTATTATTTTTAAAAAATTCGCAAAAAAAAAAACAATTTTTGGGGGGCGTAAGGGGGGGGAAAAAAACACAAACTTTTTTTTTGCCGGTTACGGCATTTTTTTTTTTTTGAGGCCCGTTATTATTCCTTTATTTTAAAATTGAAAAGGCCCCTTTTGGGGTCTTTTTTTTCCCTCTTGCAAGCGGGGGGGAAAAATACTTTGCCGCCCCCCAGGGGGTTCTTGGAAAGAGCAAAGGGGGAAAAGGGGGGCCCCCCCTCATTTTTTTGCCCGAAAAGGGAAAAAGGGTTCGGGACGTGGGGCTTAATTCAAATAACCTTCCTCCGGGGGGGGGGGGGAAAAATTTTTCAATAAAAAAACCTGGGGGGGATTGGCTTTAAAAAAAAAAAGGGGGGCCTTTTTACAAAAGGACCCCCCCTTTTTGTGGGTTTTTTTTCCCTTTCCTTTGCCAGTTTTTTTTTCCTTCGCGGGGGGGGGGAAATTAAAAAAAGGCCCAACCCCGGGGGGGGGGCCGGGGCTCCGGGGACCCAAGGGGGGGAGGGGGCTTTTTTGCCCGACCCCGCTTCCCCCGCCCTGGGGTCCAAGGGGGGAAAAGGGGCCCACCCCCAAAAAGGAAACAAAAAAGTTATTTTGGGACCCCTGGGGGCCAAACCCAATTTTTTCCTAGGGGCACAAAAAAAAAAAACCACCCCACCCCAAATTTTTTTTAAAAACCCAAAAAACCAGGCAACCCCTCCAAAAAAAAAGGGGGGGGGGGGGGGCAGGAACCCTTTCCCAAGAGTTTTTCCCCCGGGCCACCCCCCTACCCCAAAAACCCAAAAAAAAAAAAAAAAGGGGGGGGCAAGGCACCAAAAGGGGGAAGGATTTTTGGGGCTCAAAACCTCCCCCCACCCCCCCCCTTTACTTTGAGGGGGGGGGGGACCATCCTCCCAGGGGGAAGGGGATTTTGCATTGGGGGGTTTGGGGGGCCAGGGGGGGGGCAAAGGCTTGGGGGGGGAAAAGGGCCAGGGAAGTTTGGGGGGAAGTCCCAGGGCCGGGGGGGGGGGGGGGGGGGGGGCCGCCCCTTTTTTTTTCCCGAAAAAATCCGCAAACCCCCGGTTTTTACCAAAAATCTTGGGGGGGGGGAAACCCCAAGGGGGGGGGGGGGAAAGGGAATGGGCGGCCCAATTTTTTGGGGGGAAGGGGGGAAAAAAAGGGGACGGGGGGAAAAACCCCTTTTAACCCGCGCCGGGGCCAGGTGGGGAACCCAACTCTGGGGGGGGGGGGGGGGGGAAAACCCGTTTCTTAAACGGGAAAAAAACTTGGGGTCGGTGGGGTCGGCTTTTTAAAAAAAAAAAAACCAATCGAATTTGGGGAAGGGGGACGGGTGGGGGGCTTGGGGCGGGACAAGGGTTTGGGCAAAGGGCCATTTGGCGAAAGTGGCGGTGAACCTTTGGGGGAAAAAGGGGGGGGGGCCAAAAAGGGGGACCGCTGGACCCATTACATAAAAAAACCCCCCCAAATCTTTTTGGCCCCCCCCTATATTAATAGGGGGACCCCCCCCCACCCTCGGGGGAAAAAAAAAAAAGCCAGGGGGGGCCCTCTTCGGGGGGGGGAAACCCCTAAGGGGACCAGAGGAAATTTGGGCGGGGGGGCATGGCCGCTACACGACCCCCAAAAAAAAACCCGAAGGTTGGGGGAACCTTCTAAACCGTTAACCCCACGAAAAGGAAAAGGGAAAAAGGAAGGGTGGGGGATTTAACCAACCTTGGGGGGGGAAACTCCGTTTTTTTGGAACCCCCCCCCAGGGGGGGGGGGGGGAGGCAATTTTTTTCAGATTTTGGCAAAATTTCTTTTAAATACCACCCCCCCCCTTTGGGGGGACCCCCCGGGTTTTGTATTCCGTTTTTTTTTTGGTGGGGGGGTTATCGGTTTCCTATCGTTTTTTGGTTGTTACCAACAAAGGCCCCTCGTTGGGTAAAAAAATGGGAAAAAAAAAAGTTTGTTATACGCCCAAGGAGGGGGGGACCCAACTATGGGGGGCCGGAATTCCCCAGGTGGGGGGGCCGTTTTTGGTTCCCTCGTGTTAAAAAAAAACGGGGGCCCAACCCTTTTAGGGGGGGGGTTTTTCCACGGGCAATTTCCTTGTTGTGGACTAGGGGGAGGGGTAAAGGGGGAAAAAAGGGTCATAAAATTTTTTACCCCCACCCAAAAGCCCCCTAAAACCTTGGGCCTTTAAAATTAAAAAAAGAAAAGGGGGGGTTTTGGGGGAAGGGATTCATTTAAGGCTGGAAAAAAAAAAAAAAGGGGACCTTATCCATAACACAAAATTAAAATCCAACCCCAAAAAACATTTGGTTTTGTTTTCCACCCCCAACGGGGGGCAAAAGGCATTAACTGTAACCCAAAAAAAGGGCCCATGGGGGGGGGGAAAAAAACCAATTACTCAATTATTTTAATGTTGTGCCCAAAAAACAACAACCCAACCCCCCCACACCAACAACACCCATTGGGCATTTAGATAAAAAAAAACAACCCCACACTATTTATCATTTACCAACCCCAATTTTAACGGGGTTTTTTTTTTTCCCCCTTTTGCCTTGCGTGGTTTGTTAAAAAGGGGGAAGACTGGGGTGGTTGGGTTAATGGTTCCCAAAATTAAGGGGGGGGGGGGAGCCTGGCTTGGGGAAGGGGGGTGGGGAATCGTTTTAAAGGGGGGTGGAAAAAAAGATTTTTTTGAATTTTGCTTCTTCCTCCCCCCCAACACCTTTAAACCCCAGGGGGGGGGGGGACCCCAAAAAGAAGGGAGGGAAAAAAGGAAAAAAAAAAGAGGAGGGAAGGGGGGGGGGGAACGGGGACTTAAAATTTTTTGGGATCTCCCCCAACGGGTTTTTCCTTTAATGGGGGGGCCCTCGGGGGGGGAAAATTTTGGGTTTTTTTTGCCCCCACTCTTTTCTCTTTTAATTTTGTTTTCCCCCAAAAAAAGGGGGGACCCTTCCCAAGGGGGAACAAGTTTTTGGGATTTTTTATTTTTTTAA